TCTTTCCCTTTCCCCATCTCCCTCTGTTCCTTATCCTCTTGCTGGCTTTTTTTCCTTTAATCCTTCCTCCCGCATTTTCTTTCCATTTCTCTTTATGCCCTTCAGTCTTTTCATATATTCCTGTCGGTGAGAAAGACAGTCACTTGGTTTTCCCAGTTTCCTGATTAGTGTGAAGTTGACAACGAACATCATTCCTACCCGCTCCCTTCTTCTGAACCATTCATACAGCCTGCGCAGCTCTCACCAATTTACTGAATATGGTCCACCCTGCTTGTTCTGCCACTGCTGGAAAATCCACTTATACGTCTGGCATCAGCTGCTATTTCCCTTTCTGTAAAAGGAGATAGAGAAAAGAGGAGAAACTGCAAGGCTCACAGCTCCAGGATGGCATCTCTCAGGAAGAGCAAGATTTTCAGGGTCAGGGGTGAGGGCAGGAAAGAGCGCTGTTTCCGTGGGTTGAGTCTAGAATAGTAATAGACCCCAAAACGGCCCCAGTGCTTTATAACTCTTGCCCCACACCTGCTCCCGGCCCAGCTCTCCAAGAGAAATGTCAGGTGTTGGCGGAGATATGCGGCCTCTCGGGGACTCTCCAGGGTTTCCCTCCTGACCGCGGGTGCCCAGAGCTTGCATGAGAGTTCTGCTGACTGGTGTCTGTAGCGCCTCCCCTGCGGTCAGGCTTTTGCTTTTCCTTTCATTTCGTTTTAACCCCCAAACTGCAATGTGTCTTTAATTGGCTGAAAAATACCTATATTTCATTCCCAAACCTTGCATCCTTAGGGCTTCTGTCCTGAAATAAACATACGACGTCGTGGTTTCTCTTTGTGCTTTGAGTTGATGCGCTCTGTGCCTGGTGCTTTACCTTTGTTCGCATGCGGTGGTGTGCCATGTGCTGAAATCCACGCCTAAAACCTGTCTGCCTTGGTTTGTGTAGAAATCTCCCAAGGTGGAAGAAGAAGAGGCGGAGGAGACAGAAAAGCAGCCAGACCCACTTCATCAGATCATACTCCACTTTAGCCGCAATGCTCTCACAGAGAGGAGGTCAGCACTGCCGGAGCGCCCTGCTCGTCCCAGGCACAGGCACAGCTGTGTCGACCCCAAACCGTCCTCCCGCAGGTTGCAGTGTGCACAGAGGGGATGCCAGATTTGAGCAGCCCTCCTTGCTGCTCTGTTCTTGGCCATCAAGAAACCTCTAGGGGAACTACCTAAGCCCTTTCATCATAACGCCTGACACTGAGTCTGAAGATGAAGGAGCCTGAAATTGTCACTTCATCCCTGAATTCCCTGTCAAGCCAATGCTGATTCAGATTTTCACAGTGGTTTCTAAGAATCGGGGTGAGGGAGGGAGTTTCTAATTAATTCACTAGTACATTGAAGATTTATACGGCACTTGGTCTTTTCTGCTGGGTCCAAAGGTAGCCTGCTAAATATTTCCTCCATTCTTTCCAGCAAACTGGAAGACGACCCTTTGTACACCTCCTATGCCAGCATGATGGCCAAGGTACACGTGGGTTTTCTGCCCGTTGTCTCAGTCTTTCTATTTCCCTTAGACCTCTTCAGGCACATGAAAACTGTCACAGTAAGCAGCAGGCCTGGGACTGGGTCATGGCCTGGGCTCCAGGCCTCGCACAATTCATGTGCCATACGGGCAGCATTAATAAACCACTCTCCCATCATCCTATAGAAACCTTGAAGCTTTGCAGAAACAGTGGGTCTGGTGGCTGGGTTCTCATGACGCTTCTAAGCCAGCTAATCAGGGCTTAGGCATCCAGATCATCCTCGCATTTTTACTCAGTGCTCAGGACACGTCCAGCAGTTCAGACACATCTGTAGGTGAAGGAAGTTCGGTACGTTTGGAAACAGGCTTAGAGACTAGGGGAAGTTCCTAGTGCTCTGGAAGAGATGGAGTGGCCAGAGATGATGTTTCTGTGTCACAGAGAGGGACGGTGGCCTCTGGAATGCCAAGTGGTTAAGCAAACTGCTGCTTCTCAAATGGGAGAGCTTCATGTCGGGCAGCAAGGGGGGTAGGTTGGGGTACAGGAGCGCCCATCCCTCTACCAGCTGCACCACGGGGTCACTTTGGGATTCACAGCCTGGGTTTCCCTAATCTTTTGTCCAAGCCCCTGGTTCTTGTTGAGAAAGGCCAGCTCCCTGTGCTCTTGTCTCTCGATTTACACCAGAACTGTACTAAGTAGGAGAGTTCAGGTCTGTGGTTAAACCAGATGGGTCCCCATTGACTGTGTGATCTCGGCGTTCCCATTTCTCATTTCTGAACCCCTTGGTAACTGCAAAGGTGGCCTTTATAGTTGAATGTTGCCTGCAGTGGTCCAAATGTTCTTGCTTTTACGGAGTGCTGAGGTCCTGAGGTATCTGTGAATTACATCCTGTCCCCTTCCCTCACACAGCAGAGTCTTGTTTACAAGGCTCACCTTTTTGTTTTGTTTTGTTTTGTTAGCATCTTTATTGGAGTATAATGTACTCCAATAAATGGAGTACAATGGTGTGTTAGTTTCTGCTGTATAACAAAGTGAACCAGCCATACATATACATAGGAGGCTCACCTTTAATTTGATTGTCTGTCTCCTCCTCTCCCTGCTGCATGGAATTCAGAGTTGTCAGAGTGGGGAAGACGAAGAAGGGGAGGAAGACAAGGAAAAAACGTTTGAAGTAAGTTCTCACTAAGATTGAAGCCAGCAGGAGGGCCTTCAGGGGTGGGTGCTGACATTAGCCACATGGCTCACCCACCACATGTGTCTGGTGGCAAATACATTAGTTGTGGTTGCTGTCTGTCTCTTGGCTTAATGAGAGGTAGCAGGCAGCCAGTCAGTCAGCAAACGGCCCCACAGGTTTGCTTTTCTGGAAAATCTCCTACATCTACCCAAGTGTGGTCATAACAGGGGCCGTAGAAGGGCACATTCAAACATTCAAAAGTGAAAATTCACAGCAGTAGAGACACTGGATGGTTTTTTGCACCGTTATTCTGTAAACGTACTTAATAACAATCTTAATTTTGAGGCAGTGCAGGACCCTGAATCTCTCAAGATAGAACGACATGAGTTTACTTGTACTGTTTTATAGACAAAGTATACAACAGTAAAAGTAAATGAAGACAATTACAGTTCTGGAAAGCCTTGACGTTCTAGCATCTCGTATCTGGTAGAGTCTCATTTAAGTGTGGTCTGAGCATTCTGGGTAAGTGGTTGTTTCCTACACTCCGACAGATAAACTCCAGCTGAGCCCTCAGCAGGTTTTCCTGTATGACTGAACATTGAAAACAAGCACATCTTAATCTGGGGTCACTTCCTATAATTATAGTATCACAGGGGAACAGACTGTGTTACCTATCAGTACAAAAAGTAGAAAATTCAGCATCAAAAGGTGAGTAAATTATGGGTGGACAGTTTTGGAAAGCTGGACAGCATCTAAAAATAACCTTCCAGAGTCTGTTTTGTTCAAAATTGTTTGTTGCCTTCTTAGGCAAGTAAAGATTCTCTCCACTCACCTGACCACGGTGGATTCTCTGGGGGTAAACAAATCTTTTTCCGCTTTTTTTGTTTGTTTGTTTGTTTCTAGGAGAAAGAAATGGAAAAGCAGAAAACCCTCTATCAGCAAGCTCGGCTGCACGAGCGTGGAGCCGCAGAGATGGTCCTTCAGATGATAAGCGCCAGCAAAGGTGATTTCTGAGATTTCTACACGGGCCCCTGAACTACCACAGAGATGTCACACCATGACGTGACGTCATTATTAACGGGTCCTGGTAAAGCCCAGTCGATGTGATTTACCCTCTGTTTCCTTGGTGATTCAACGGAATCTTTACCACGGCAGGTGAGATGAGCCCCATGGTGGTTGAGACTCTGAAGCTGGGGATCGCCATTCTGAATGGGGGCAACGCTGGCGTGCAGCAGGTAATGGGGGCTTGCAGGAGGTGGGGCAGACTTCCTGGTGTATTTCCATTTGACAGCTGTCACACTTCAGGGAAGAGATGTTGACTCTGCTACAGAGGTGGCCACCCAGAATCACCTTTGCTGCTATTTTGTCCTTAGTGACCAGTTATATCAGAGTAACTGGGAACACAGCTAAAACCAGGACTAGGAGTCTTTAGACAAAGGTGTGCTTAGTAAAGAGGGCTTACCTAGGGTTCAAAAAGAAAAACATTACATCTTTTTCATCATTTCTACAAAACTATGCTCTAGAGGAAGTTTTCTAAGCCTTAGGTTTTTATTTCAACCCTTTCCCTTATTAGCTGCCTTACTGTGAGCAAAAGGGGCCTGATCAGTTAAGTGGGGTTCATAACCCCACACACCTATTGTTCGTTCACTCATTTATTTATTCATTTATTTAACAGCTGTTTAGTGATTGTTGACTATGCACTAGGGCCAGGCTCTCTTCTGTGGGTAGAGGGTGTAGCGGTGAATAATGCAAATACAAAACCCTGCCATCATGCATTAAATGAGAGAACACACAGAGACATAGAAAGTGGAGTGTGTGGCACATGGAGTTCATTCAGCAATCTGAATTGGAACTGGCTACAGGAGATAGAAATGCACTGGTGTCTCCTGAGTACTCCAGGCTCTGGCTAAAAATAAAAGCATCTGTGTGCACAGGAAAATGAAATTTCAAAGACTTTTGGCATTCATAAGGGTTATATCCCAGGGCCTTTGAGAATTTCCAAATCCATGACTACCATTATTGCGTATAATTTTTCCCAGGCTTTAACTCATCACAAACAAATTTCTCATTAAGAACTACCATTTTCAAAGGCACCCCTCACTTTCTGTTCTCTTCCACCACCACCCCTTCAGTCGACTTTCTTACAGAGCCCTTTAAAAAAAAAAAAAAAGGAAAAAAAGAAAATTCTTATTATGTCACACAAAGTTCCTGGCTTGTCAGTAACAGAGAACAGAGGAAACTAAGTCTTATTGTGAGAGAGATACTGAGCTCTCAACTAGGCTCATTAGTAGGTAAGCTCCTTGCTCCAGTGCGTTAAAATCATTGCACGAGCTGTTCAGATTATACCTCAGCAACCGTAAACATTACTCCATCCCAGTCCTGGCACCTGTTCCCAAATAGAAGAGGCTTCAAACAGTAAATCTATGAATGTCAAAGATCCACTGTACTGTCAATACCAGTGGACCTTTATAAAATAAAACATCTGCCCTAAAATATTCTGGTTCCATAAGTGGAGGGTGGCGCTCAGGCACACTGAAGGTTTAAGTCCACAGGTGGAGTATCTCGATGCTTACCCAGGGTTACAGACCACCATCCTGGATCTGACTCGGTGTACCTGCATGGCTGCCATCTGTCCATCACAATTAGGAGGGTTAGTACGTGTCCCATAGTTTTCATTGTTTTTCCCTTTTAAATGTGTCTCCCTTGCAGAAAATGCTAGATTACCTAAAGGAGAAAAAGGATGCTGGGTTCTTTCAAAGCCTTTCTGGTCTTATGCAGTCTTGCAGGTAAATATGGGAAAACCACCCATAGCATTTTTTTTAAGTTCTTCACTATTCAGGGAAAGGGGAATGGGGTGGGGGAGGGCCACAGAATAAACTGGCTTGTCATGGAATTATTGCGAAAGGAGTACCTACTTCCGAAAGCTAAGAGGATGGGTATTGTTCCTCCAGCCCTCAGGATTACCTTCAAATAGCATTCAGAAGGGAAAATGTAATCTACACAACACACACACACACACACACACACACACACACACACACACACACACACACACACACACACACACACACACACACACACACCTACCTACCTACCTACCTATCTACCTACCAACCCCTGTTTGGTGTTTGAATCGCCCTTCCCTCCTTTTTTCTTAGGTTGTTTTATTTGGAGCTGAGTGTGAGTTTCTCTTAAACATGTATGCTCATAAAAGTCAAACTAGAAAAGAATGGAAAAGAGGAGGAATCCCTCAGTATGACTCAAGGCTATGTGTTCGTTAGACCCATTAGGCACTTTGTTAATCCTTAACAGTTCTTTGAGCCTGAATAGATATTTTGTGGGTACATATTTTGACACATCCATTTTGACAGAGGCACATCCTGACATGAGAACATTTTGACATTGTCTGAAAAACAAAGCATTAAACTTTCCATTTATACTACCCAGTTGTGTAAGCCTCCCCTCATGGCTGAACCCTCTGACAGATGAACAATAGGTAACCAAAAGTCGTAAGGTTACCATACCTGCTCATTTCAGAAACAAGCCAGCAATCTTTCTAAGAAAAGTGTCAGCTTATTCTCCGAGATTCATATGTATTTTGAACCGTCTGCAGCTCATTCTGAAAGAAGTCAAAGTTATAATTATCTAGCTCGTTTGCCTCCAATTAATAATTCTTAAACTTGGAACGTTAGTCCAATTGAAAATTTGTAGAATGGATGTTCTTGTTTTGGTGGACTTCATAATATTTCTAGTCATATTGGATTGGGTAAATATTGTACCCTGGGGTTATACGGAGCATATTTGAGCTGCAGTACAGTCCCTTGTCCTCAGCTCCATTTTTCCCCCACCGACAGCCAATTCATTTATTACCTCCCTCAGGAAAAGAAAATGTAATATTGCCAGACCTGACTCACTGAGGGTGAAATAGTACATGTGGACTCAAAGATGGTGAAAATCAAGGCAGTTCGGTCCCATATTGCTCATGATATTCTCAATTAAATTTCTAAGAGTTCTCTTGGTAGTCTGTAGTACTTAATATTGCTAAGATAATTTATAATGATGGCTTAGAGGGACAGGTGACATACCCTTAGAGGCCAACTGAGTTCTAACCGAAGTTTTAAGGTATTTTAATGTTTTTTTTTTTTGCTGATTATAAAAATAATATGTATTTGTAAAATAGTTAAGCATTGAAGAAATCAGAACATTTGAAATGGGTATTTCAGGATGGAGCAAGGGTCAGAAATGTCCACTGCACAGATTGTCTCCTGAATCAGCAGTGATGCTTCAAAGTAGCTATGTCCAAATGTCCTGTTTCCGTATTTTCCTCCCAAAATCAAAGTATAATTTTGTATTATCAAGCAGACCCTTTTTATAGCAGGGTCTGGGGAAAACCAACATAATGGCAGTAGGAATTTTCACTTTCTCTTTAAAATTCATCTAAATTACAGAACATATGTGACTCCCTAAAAGGGGAAAAGGGGTGTTGGATTTTTCCCCAAAGTCTTTCCAATCCATCAGTCATTTCCTTTGCCCAGTGATAAAAGGAAGAGGAGGTTTTGCAGAATCTTACTGGACTCAGCCATAAGCTTCTCTAAGGTCTATATCCTTGTGAGACTTTGTGGTCTTATGTTCCATAAAATCTTTATTGGCTAAGGAGTTAGACCCTATTAGAGAAATAGAGTGAGCCCCAGCTGGAAATCACATGATCATTATTCTCATTGTAGCTTTGCGGTTGTCCTAGAGGTTCCTGGCTAAGCAGGCTTTGTTGGTGGCTGTGGCTGGGAAGGTTGTGGAAGGTGAGGACAAAAACGAAAGCCAACTTGTCACAGGTTCAGGAGCACCTAGGGACACCATTGCCTCTAGAAAGCGTGATCTTGGCTACTTTTGGCTCCTGAATGATAGAATAAAAGGGTGTGGCCCTTCAAAGTCTGAAACTTTGGGGCTTCCCTGGTGGCGCAGTGGTTGAGAGTCCGCCTGCCGATGCAGGGGTCACGGGTTCGTGCCCCGGTCCGGGAAGATCCCGTGTGCCGCGGAGCGGCTGGGCCCGTGAACCGTGGCCGCTGAGCCTGCGTGTCTGGAGCCTGTGCTCCGCAACGGGAGAGGCCACAACAGAGAGAGGCCCGCGTACCGCAAAAAAAAAAAAAAAAAAAAAAAAAAAATCTGAAACTTTGTAGCTCTCTCCGTCGGTATTCATCCTAAGCACTAAAAGCCACTATTCCTTGTGATTCTCAGAGAAAGTAGGTAAATGTGGAAGGTGAACATGAATTAATACAGTTTAAAGTAAACTTTCCCTTAAGAAATCTTAGAAACAGATTATTCCTTCTTGATTTGGAAAGCCTTTCTAAATCTTCATCCATAAGAAGGGACTCAAACTGGACAAACAGTGACAATCACATACATGTTTCTGACCCCTGTCCTTGCACACGGCAAGGGCTGTGAGCTCCAGGCATCCTTGGACAACACTGCTTAGCACAAACCCAGGGAATCATTAGACCCTCAACCATATACCACAATACGTTGGTGCATTTATGATAATGCAAGGAGGGGGTATTCTTAGTTGATGGGTTCATTGATGTTAAAAACCCATTTTCCCAGTGCGTGTAGCCCTGAACCTTGTTTTCTTTCGTCTGTTACAAGTGTCCTTGATTTGAATGCATTTGAGAGGCAGAATAAAGCTGAAGGCCTGGGGATGGTTACTGAGGAAGGAACACGTAAGTAACTGATGCAGGTGAAGGCTGCTCTGTTTCCAATTAAAATCCTAGTTAACTGTTTCTGGTTAGAGCCCCTGTTCACTGCTGCTTAACCTCCAAGGACTTGCTCCATTTCAGCAAGATGTTGCCATCCGTAGTTTTGATAAGGCATCTCCAGGCTGGTGTGTTCACAGAACGAGTATTAGCTAAAGAGAGCCTGTCTTGATGTTTGTGGTTTTCTTACTCTGTATTCTTCTGTTTTTCTCTTATGGCTAGTCATCGTTCGTGAGCGTGGTAAGTTTGAGTTTCCGGCCCGAGCTCCTACCGTGTGTGTGAGTCCTAAGAGATCTTATTTAATTGGCTCAGCACAGACGCATTTTCGGCTTGGTGGTCGCATGTTGAGTTTAACTCAGCAGTTTGTTGTTTAATTAAAGAAGTGTCTTCCATCTTCCAAAGCATGTGTTCTGGACTGTGAATCATTACTGCCTAGTTGTTTTCCTTCCAAATGCATCCCGGGGCTAGCGATTCTAGCTTTGTTGGGTGTTGCCTCAGTTCCAGTTTTAATTGGGTCTGTCACCATTCATCCACAGTTCCCTTTCCACACTGTTCTGACACAGCTCCTTTAGCATTTTTGCAGTCATGTGTGGTGGAAGGTATTCTATGTGGAAAAGCCAAACAGATGCTCACCAGTATTCTGTGTTTTCAAGGTGAAAAAGTACTCCAGAATGATGAGTTTACACGAGATCTCTTTAGATTCCTACAGTTACTTTGTGAAGGACATAACAGTGGTAAGTGGAACAGATTTGATTTGTCAAGGGACAACAACATTCAGGTACAAAATTTTGATTCATGTCAGGTTGCCACATTCAATACAGCCAGTTGCTAATTTAAGGACAACAGTTAATCCATTCCTTAATAAGAAACCCTATGTAACATGGCCTTTAACTTCATGGCTAATGTTATTCAGTGCCACCCAGGCTGAGTTGCTTCCAGAATCTTCAGATGTTGGAGCTAAACACCCGCCCCTTGCTGTCAAGTCCCTCAGGGCTCATTAAGTGCAGTTTCCGGTGCCGCTGGGATGGGAGGGCTCAGGGCAGTGCTCTGTCCTTCAGGACCTAAACAGTGTGCCCTTGTAAGGCTTTTCACGTGGTGAGTCTCTTCTGAGCTCAGCCAAGAAGAAGCTTAGAGCCACCTGCTCTGCAGGGGTGGACTCTGACCCAACCCTGGTGTTCTCAGATTTCCAGAACTTCCTGCGGACTCAGATGGGCAACACCACCACCGTGAACGTCATCATCAGTACCGTGGACTACCTTCTGCGTCTGCAGGTGAGTGGGCGTTGGATGGTAGCACACCTCACATACACTTCCGGAAGCTAAAGACAGTTACACAGCCTCAGGGACGGCCCAGGATACAGTCCAGCCCCAGCAAGGAAGGTCTTGTAATCTTATGTCCACACACTTACGGGAAGTCAAATACCTAAATGTGAGTTTGAAGACTGAAGTCGGGGGAGTGGTTAACTACCAAATCTTCTGTTATAAACTGCTGATTCACTTTAGTTTTGCCAGTGTAAGCTTAGCCACAGTACTCCAGGCAAGCTGTGCATGGGAACAGACTTTCACTAGGAAAAAGAGGTACAGAAAGCGGGAATAAGATGGGTTCACAAGTTCTTAGTTGTTGAGACGTCATCTGGTTGAATTGTTTGAAGGAAAATCCAAATAATGTCAAGAAAATCTGCACAAACATAAAAAAGGATGCCCTCTTCTCTTTGCTCATTCCTCAGTTCTGCCACTCACCAGTTCATGACCTGGAGCAGTCTGTTTAACCTCCTGGTGTTCCAATTTCCTCATCTATAAAACGAGTAGTCCTGTCTCATTGGGTGGTGGTAAAGATGGAGAGGTCTAATACATGTAACGTGCTCAGAACAACGCCCGGCACTTACGGTGTCAGCTATTATGTTGCTGAACATAATAGGTCCAGCTGAATGCTGCCCTCTCTTCTATCTGTTCTTTCCTGCGGAGGGGGAATATCTGTACTTAAAAGGTGCTCAGGGTCAGATACCTCTGTGCTTCTTCAGAGTCCCAGGCTCCTGTCATAACAAAGTGGTCACAGAAATGTAGGACGGGGCTTCCCTGGTGGCGCAGTGGTTGAGGGTCCGTATGCCGATGCAGGGGACACGGGTTCGTGCCCCGGTCCGGGAAGATCCCACGTGCCGCGGAGCGGCTGGGCCCGTGAGCCATGGCCGCTGGGCCTGCGCGTCCGGAGCCTGTGCTCCGCGATGGGAGAGGCCACAACAGTG